TAACTCCCACCGAGTTCCAAAAAGCTCACAGCGAACATCTCACGCTCGAAAAAGCAGCAACACACCAGCTCCAAGCCCTCTCCGCAGCCCGCCGCTCCCTGCCCATAGTGCCCGTCCCGGATCCCGCACGCTTCAAGTTCGACACTGTCCAAGGCGAGAAAACTCTTCCAGAGCTCTTCGCCGGCCGGAGACAGCTCATCATGTACCATTTCATGCTGGGACCGGAGGACGAGAAGGGCTGTGTTGGGTGTTCGTTTTGCATGGACCATATTCCTGATTTGCGGCATTTGGAGAGTCGGGATACGAGTTTTGTGGCGGTTGCGAGGGCGCCGGTGGGGAAGATTGAGGAGTATAAGAGGCTTACCGGGTGGGGGTTTCCGTTTTACAGTTCGGAGAAGACGCATCGGGCGTGGGAGGAGGCGGAGAAGGGTGGAGAGGTTATTACGTGGAAGCCTGGCAATGGGTATTTTGGGCTGTGTGTGTTTTGGAGGGGCGATGAGGGGGAGGTGTTCCATACGTACTCTACGACGGATCGGGGGATGGAGATTCTTCTTGGGACGTATCATTTATTGGACATGACGCCGTTGGGGAGGCAGGAGGTGGGGAATGGGATGAATGAGTTTCGGAGAATTTATGAGTACTAAAGGGGGGTTGGGAATGTGATGTATGTAATTAGGGCTGGCTGAGGCTGGGTTCCGATGACGTCGGACGTTGCATACATTGAGTGAATTTCATGTAGTCATGTTATATCACGCATATTTCCAGTGTAGGCCTTATTGCTTCAAGGTTGGGTTCCAATGTTCCTTTCGTGAGCAGTTGAGCTCCGAGTGATAGCGCCATGGCTCTGATCTCGAACTCATCAAGAGTCTTAGATGCAGGTTTATAATGAGTCAAACAGAAAAAAAAAGTGGAGGAAAGAGAGATTAAAAACACGGTGGGGAATTTAACACAAGGAAAAGAAAGAAAGGAAGGGAAAAAAAAGAAAGAGAAAAAAAAAAAGAAAAATGATGAACATGAATAGAATCCTGGACGCGTCCCAATGCTGGAGAAAAGAAAATCAAGTCAAGGAAAGCAGAATGCGTATCGGTAGAAACGCAGAGTAGAAATCCTCCCACGGCAGCCACTTCATCCCACACCAAGGGAGAAGAAGTCGTCAACATCACTTCGTCCCAATGTACATAGTCGTTACTTGCACTTCATCGTGATTCTATACGTTTTTGTAGAGCAACAGCGGTTCGCCGACGTTCTCGATCTCGGGAATAGTGCACTTCAGGTCGAAAGCCTTCGCCAGGACGATCTTGAAGATCTACCAGAAAGTTAGTATCGGACGGAAACCAGGTTCGGAATGTATCTCCGTTCGCACCTTTTGTACGTTTATACTGTGGCTGGTGCTGCTGAAAATCAAGCTGGCCTTCATGGCCTTGGCAAACCTCTTGGCCTGAGCTCAAATTAGCGTGGTTATCGTTAAGATTTCTTCACGCTAACCTACCTGGATCGAGATCTCTTCCTGGTCTTCCCGGGGAAAGTTGACAAAGTGATCGTATTTTGTGCCAACGAGGAAAGGAATCGCGGTCTTGTTGAAACCACGGCCCTGGCGGTACCACTCCTTGATGGAGTTCAACGTGCTCTTGCGAGTGAGATCGAACATGAAGAGGATCGCGACGGCATCGTTGCAAACAAGAGGAAGCATGTTGACGAATTCACGCTGTCCACCCAGATCCCAGATGGAAAAAGTGATCTCCGTATTCCGGATAGAAATTGTTTTCTCCATAAAGTTTACACCTTCGCATGGTTAGAACTGGCCCACGAATAGCGACCCCGGATATGATCACATACCCAACGTTTGAATGTAGTCTTCGTCCCAGCTGCCCTCCACATATTTGACCATCAGACTAGTCTTTCCGATTTGAGCGTCCCCGACCATTCCGACCTTGATCACCACGCTGTTCTTCGTTTGCTGCTGCGATGGTTGCTTCTGGCTGACATCCTGGCTAGTCTGGGAGACGCCGGGTGCACTGGACAACCCGGAACTTGGCCGAGACGACGAAGGCATTTGAGGTTGGGTCAAAGGAGAAGGTGTCGGCCGGGCATCATCATGAGACTGATACTCGCGAGTGGGGGAGTGGTATTCGACGGCGGAGTGGGAGGAATAGTGGGCGCGCGAATCGCTGCTGTAACCGTCCTTATAAGGCGCTGCGGGGGCCGTATCCTCCGTCACATGAGGATCCTGTTCAAACTGGTCCGCCACATGAGGTGTGCTGGCGGACGGAAAATGTGACGCATCCATATTGAGAGGAGTGTTTCAACTGGGAGGGTTGTTGGACAAAGCTTTCCACAGCCCCTGTGGGAGTGCCTGAGGGTGAACACAGCCGCAGCTCCAGAAGAGGGAGAGCGTCAACAGCCCGATCGCCACTAGTCCACGATAGGCTTAGCGCCGTTGCCCGTCGGGCTTTCGCAGAAAAAAAAAGTTCCTGAACCCTAATCAGTCATTTTCCCTCTCTTTGAAGGTGGTTCTGCCGCACGACTGGTTCGTCGACAGTTTCTAGTTAATCCCTACCAGACAAAACTTATACGCCATGTCGAAGAGAGCCGCCGACGTTTCCGATGAGCAATCCGCCGCTCTCAAGGCCGGAGAGCGCCCGATGACCGAAGCCCCTCCAGACGAGGTGGGGGAATTCGAGGACGAGTTCGAGGACGAATTCGAGAGCGAAGATGAGATCCTCGAGGCCGGTGTCGATGGCCGCCCTGATGCGGAGCGGGAGGAGGAGGAAAAGGGTAAGCTCTCCTGTTCACCCATTTCTATCGGTTCAGCTCTGATTGCGACCGTGTTCTACAGATGCGATGGAGGTCGACCAGCAGACTTTCATTCCCGGAAGAACGAAACTCGCTCCCGGAGAGGTGCTTTCGCCCGACCCTTCTACATATAATATGCTACACACCCTCACGACACCCTGGCCCTGTCTTTCTTTCGATATTGTCCGCGACAATCTGGGCGACAACCGCAAGACCTTTCCCGCGACCGTCTACGCCGTAACTGGTACCCAGGCAGAGGGACGTCGATCAAAGGAAAATGAGCTCATGGTTCTGAAGATGAGCGGTTTGAGCAAGATGGAGAAGGAGAACGATACCGACTCGGAAAGTGACTCGGATGACGATGATGATATGGGAGAACCTATTCTCGAGCACAAAAGTATCCCCTTGGGATCGACAACCAACCGGATCCGTTGCCATCAAACCCCCTCCTCCTCTGGAGATTACTCCAAACCTCCACAGACCCTCACTGCCACCATGCTGGAGAACTCGCAGGTGGTCATTCACGACGTTACCCCTCATCTTACGAGCTTCGATGTTCCCGGCACCGTTCTCCCTCCTTCCGCCTCGAAACCTCTTTCTACCCTTCGCATGCACAAGTCCGAGGGTTACGCACTGGATTGGTCTCCTCTACAGCCACTGGGCAAGTTGTTGACCGGTGATAACGATGGTTTGATCTACGTTACGACGCGCACCGAAGGTGGCGGCTGGGTTACTGATACGCGGCCCTTCACTGGACACTCTTCGTCGGTTGAAGAACTGCAATGGTCTCCCAACGAGCGCAATGTCTTCGCTTCCGCCAGCAGTGACGGTAGTGTGAAGGTGTGGGATGTCCGGTCCAAGTCCCGCAAGCCCGCTGTGGATGTGAAGGTTTCCAACACCGATGTTAATGTCATGACATGGTCGAACCAGACGTTCCACCTTCTCGCTACCGGTGCGGATGATGGTCAATGGGGCGTCTGGGATCTGAGACACTGGAAGCCGAATGCCTCGGCGCCGTCAGCCCAGATCACGGCATCGCCTGTGGCCGCGTTCGACTTCCACAAGGAGCCGATCACCAGTATCGAATGGCACCCAACGGATGACAGTGTGGTTGCCGTTGGCTCGGCCGACAACACTGTGACTCTGTGGGATCTGGCTGTCGAACTTGATGATGAGGAGAGCCGGGAAGCCGGCCTGGCAGATATTCCGCCGCAATTGCTGTTCGTGCATTACATGGAGTCAGTCAAGGAAATCCACTGGCAGGCCCAGATGCCCGGTACTATCATGGCTACTGGCGCTGCTGGATTCGGGTACGTATATTCGGATACGAGTATGAGAAGTGTTCCATGCTAACCTATTCTTCACAGAGTATTCAAGACGATTAGTGTTTAAAAGCATAAAAGTGCGATTCCGAGATATACGCCCCACGACTTGCCGTTCTCATACCTTTATACCATTTGTTTGATGGAAGTTCATTTAAAGTTCTCCGGGAATAGAAGTCAATGAATCTGATGACATTGTGATATTATGCAAAACATGACCGCACAAATCATGGGCGACGATGACTGACTAGTGTATCGAGCCAGAAGGCTGATTGGGTTTTGAGCGACCGTTTAGCGCGGTGCTCAGGGCGCCTCGTGACGATCCGCATGTCGGCAAATGATTGTCAAATGCCGTCGGGGTGTAAGCGAGCAGGTGGCCAGTACTGATTTGTCGTAGACTGACCCAGCATGCATACACATTGTGATAAGGGAAGAAAAATATTCATCTAAAAGCCTAAAATGGCGATAGATACGCCATTTGCAACGTGAAGGCATGCAGCAGAGAGACGCGTGTAAAACAGTCGTAGAGTGCAATCATCTCCCGTGACCCGGCATATCACATTCCTTCCCCATGGAATCTCGTGGGGATCAAAGTCTGGGGCATCCAATCAGACGTGCGCTGAAAACGTTCCCCATTTCTGCGCAAATGCGGGGAAAGCTGTGCCTCGATTGGTGTGTTAAAGGTTGTCGCCAACCTGGGCCAAATCCCTCGACTCAAACCTTCCATTTATTGTTGATCTCTCGGGCAATCACTCTTCTGCTCCTCGTCTCTTGTCCCTGCAGTGCGCAGACCTGTCGGTTGATCAATCCGCCCATGCTTGTGCTTAATTTGTATCATTTCCCCGCAGCGCTCATCGCTCAGCACCAATTGCCCCGCAAACTGCCATGAGGATCGGAAGGGGATGTGAGCGTTGTCGCCTTCGTCATATTCGGTGTACTACTCGCACGGGGGCTTCGTCATGTAATGCATGCGCTCGCTTAGGACGGACTTGTCGTCTCGATCCTCCGTTCCGTTTCAAGACCGTTCGGCATGTGTATCAGAAGAGCCAAGGGACTGCCTCTAAGTTTGAGTTGGAATGGGACTCTGCACAGACATGGGTGAACGTTCCTCGGTCTTGTATGTTCTGCTATTTCCACCTCCATGTTCTCTTTTTGTCTAGATTAGTCCCGACGGGGCCCTAACTCATCCGCTTTAGTGACCTTCGTTCACGAGTCAGCCGAAGATTCAGCGGATGGGAGCATCAGTGATGCTCCGAATGAGCCTCAGGCCGAGACCCAGATTCCGGGCGGCTCCCATACATATATCCCGGATCCTTTCGTCGCTCACCTGCCTATCTCCGGATCTCTGAATCCACACGATGAGGCCATTGGCATCCCACATGTGGAACCGGTAATCTCGACTCCTTCAATACACGATGAACAACACTCCACCAAAGCCACGGCGATCTCGCCGGGGGCTGTCAATGACATGGTCTCCCCTTTGGCATCCAATAGCACCTGGTCGCCGATGACTCCATCCACACCGCGCTCGACCTCCTCATCGACGATGACATCGCGGGAGGCGTTCCTGTTGCGCTCATACATCAACAAAATATCGCACTGGGTAAGAACCATACACTGTCCGTCGTACCTCTCAGTAGCGGAGGATCTGATCACTACAACAGTTAGATATCTGTGACTCGGGATCTACTTTCAACACCGAGGTGCCTCGCAGAGCGCTACATGTACCGATGGTTTTGAAAGCAGTATTAGCGCTCTCTGCACGACATGATGCGATCATGTCCGGCGGTAGTGATTGGGAGGCCTCCGAATACCACAGCCAATGTGTAGAGATACTGCTTGCCGCTCTTGCGCGGCCGGAGGAAACGTACGACGACAACATGCTGATTTCGGTCGTGATCTTGCGAATCTACGAGGAACTCGAGAGTACGACCGATGAAAAGTGTCATTGGCTTGGTTCCAATCGGTTGCTCAATACTATGTCCCGAGCCGCATCCTCTGGCGGGTTGACGGAGGCTGCTAGCTGGCAGTTTCTACGGCAAGCCATCTACGCATCCCTTGTCCAAAATCAGCCTATGCAGCTGGATCTTCGGAACTACGAAAGGTCATCTGTTTTCAAGCGGGGCGACGACGCTGCCTATGCCAACACCATCATCTTCTACTGTGCCCGGATCATTCAACTCTGCTCGGAAGGCCATGTAGCCGCCGTGGATGAGGAGGACTGGCACGATTTGTCCAGCAGCGTAGAACAGTGGTACCGCGACCGGCCCGTCAGTTGGCAGCCACTGCAGTACAAAGACGCCAATCCAGCAGAGAATCGACCGTTTCCCGAGTTATGGGTCATGTCACCCCCAGCCGGTATGTACATGGATCAGAGTGGACTGGGATATATGTTGACTGGTATAGTGGTCGGACTACAATATTATCACACCTGCCAAATTCTCCTCACGTCGTCCGACCGCCATTGGGGCGTCGTGAGCAACTATGAGCGTGCACGGCTCAGACGTATAGAAGAGGTTCGTCCTTCGAGGTGCCATCGACAACTCCATATATATACTCACCGTCCACAGAAAGTAATTGCATCACACGTGGTGCAAGTGATCGGGCTATCTTCGTCGAACGAAACCGTCGAAAATGCCTATTTCATGGCCTGCCACCTACTATATCGATGTAAGTTCGCCGATCTCCGGCTAAATGGCTTTCCCGTCCTAACCCGCACTCGCACAGATGGACACTGCCTGCGCCATCCCGCCGAGAAGCGGGGATCACTCAAATTCCTGACTCAGGTGGAGGGCTCCGTGGGCTGGCGCACGGGATGGATTATCCGCGAACTCGAGGATCAATGGAATGAGCTGCAGGGATTGGATTCGTGGGAACTCGAGCTGCAGCCGGGACGGATGTAAAGTATATTTTTCCCTATATTTTTTCTTTTCCTTTTTTGCTTTTTGGTGGAGTTGGCGTTCCGGCAACCAGTCAACAGCCTTGATGAGGACATGACATGATGCAATGATATGATTATCTCGATGCCTGATGAGCGGGGTCGCGACGGAGTGGGTCTTGGCGTACAGGGCGATAGACGATAGAGAAATTAGAGATATAAATAGATTCCGCTGTGAAGAATGTTACCGCCTGCGCTATATCAAGTCAGTCGTTGTACTACTACTCCGTTACTGTGCTCTTTGTTCACACCCCCAGGCATCCATATATCCCATAGAACGCCAGAGGAAAATCAATCCAATCGCCACCGATCAGACCCTCGGAGATTTCCCGGCGACCTCCTCTGTATTAGCTCCCGCAGTAGGGGTACACTGTTGCCTGGTACGCAGGAGTTCGCCGGACCATCAGCGAATGAATTACTTAACAGAAAAGCCCTAACCACGATAAAAATAGCAAAACCATCGCTGTACAATTCGCACATACTAATCAAATCAAATCCCACAAATCTATCAAATACCCAAATACACAGGTTGAAAGCGAGACACCCAAGAAAATTCACATGTCGCCAACACACGATCCACAAGACCGCCAATACGCCGGAGTATACCTGAGAGAATCCGTGACAGCAATGCGAAACCAGGGTCCAATGCCAAGACCCGGGCTAGGGATCCTGAGAGTGGGGACTCGGTTACAGCCATGCCTTGGGGGGGCGGTGCTTTAGAATTTCTTTCTGGAAGGAGTAGTATTTTCATTATCTCATGATTTCATTAGTTTATCCTATTTGTTTGACGGGTTTATGGTCGGTCACTGGCTCATGTTGCATTACACCTGTAGACTCCAATTCCTGTCTGAAGGGTGGTAGAAGTGAAGTGGTCGAGGTGGAGTGGATGGAAAGCTAGCAAAGTTGCCCTATCTTGGCAGTCGGAACTGGGGCGTCGCCGTGCCTGATGGATTCAGTGTAGTTTCTACCCCGGCGATGGCCGAGAGGGATGGGAATGTGATTAGTATGTGTAGTGCAGTCTGTCACTTGTGATGGTTTGCTCTCTGTGGAAGGGGAATTGGAGTCCGGTTCCGGTTTTGGAACGATTGATGTAGTAACTCCCTTAGTAGTAACTAGTAGGAGTTGTGTCTTCTTCAGTTGCTCAGCCACTCGGAGATTAATGTACAGATCTTTGTTTGGCATTGGACTGGTGTGATTTCATTATTCGTTTTAGTTCTAGTTTTAATTTACCCCAAGGGTTATTATTCATGTAAATACCCTTTTGGTTTTGCTTCTCCCATTTTTTTTTATAATATTATTTTTATTTTTTTTAACTCCCTTTTTTTTTGGCTGGAGATAGTATATGTGTTGTACTGCGGTTTGCATATCGCAGTCCTTCTCGCGCGAATGAAGTCAAGACATTTACGGTCAATTTCTGGGCTTTTGCTGGGTGGGACGGGGGTTTTGGCTTCGAATTCATGTGCGTAGTGCTTTGTCTCATTTTCTTTGCTTTTTTTAATTTGATGCCTGTCAGGCAGGTCCAGGTTGAATTGACACAGCTAACTGTTGGCAGGCTCGGGAAACCTGAGGATATCTTCCCAATCCGACGCCGACACCCTCAAGGACTGTGAAACCATCAACGGCCCGGTCACTGTCTCCTCCTCCTCCAGCGGTACCATCAATATCCCCGAACTCCAAGACGTTAGAGGCCCGTTCACGGTCGAGGGATCGTCAAATCTCAATGCCGTCACCGCGAGCAATTTGCAATCCGTCAGTGGGCCACTCACGATCAGCGGTAATGGGGCGCTGAACAGTATTTCAATGTCGAATTTGCAGACTGTCGGGGGTGAGCTGAAGGTTCAGGGGAATGAGGGGTTGAAGGAGCTGAAGTTGGATAATTTGGAGAGGGTTAATGGGGATTTGACCCTGGATGGGGATTTCGACCGGTTGGTTGTTCCTTTTTGCTTCTTTTTGAGGGGGCCATTTTCTGGCATGTGGTCGGGTGCTGATGTTGATATAGGATATCGCTTGGGAATCTGGACAATGTCTACGGCAAAACAAGTATTCAGAGCTCGGGCTCGTTTCAGTGCTCGAGTCTGGATGAGCTTAAATCGGACAATAGAGCGTTCAAGGGCTCGTTCTCTTGCAATGAAAAAGGGTCGGGGCTTAGCTCCGGCGCGAAGGCCGGTATTGCGATCGGTGTCATCCTCGGAGTTATTCTCCTCGCGCTCCTCGTCTGGCTCTGCATACGTCGCAAAAGGAAGCAAAAACGGAAGGATGCCGCCCTCGCCGGCCTCACTGCTGCTGGCGCCGCAGGGGCGGTAGGGAAGGATGTCGAGAAAGCTGAGAATAAAGTGCCTGCTGCTGTCTCCAATAGTTCCCCGTCCAGCCATGAGCCACCAAGTCCGCCGTCTGATACCGAGGTGGTGGCGGCGAGTAATATACCCAGAAAGCCTCTTTCTCCACCCCCGCCAGCATCGGTACCTGCAGCGTTGGTGCCTGGCGATCGGTCTTCGAGGGTTCTTTCCAACCCGGATGACCCGTCGTTGTTTCTGCAGGCGATGCCGAGGCGGAGACCTTCAGAGTCGGAGGTCCCCATGTTGGATAGCGAGAACGTGCATGAGGCGCCGGCGCCTGAAGTTGGGAGGCAACAGGAGGGGTTGTTTGAGCTGGATGCTGGGCCTGTGAGTGGTAGGCATCAGCAGGCTATACATCATGATTGAGGAGTGGTCCTTCCTTTATGTGCAATGATAATAATGATACCTTTTGTCTCTTTCAATGTGGTTTGTTTCTTGTTTGAGATTCGGGGTGGAATGACTGGATATGAGCAATCACGGATCCAATGTCCCAATTCCCTGTATTATCCAGTCCAGGTCTGGCTTTCATCCTGTGGGATTAGGGTAGATAAATCTGGGCCGAATGACATGGGTTTGACCGAAACAAAACATCAATTAGGTGCTAAACTCGTAACCAGTGTATATCCATGGTAGTATACATCAACATTAACAATCATCTACTCAGGTCGAAATTCCCTTGGACCGCGGGGCTCGCACTGCCTGCAGTGTTTCGCCCGACGGCAACGGCCCGCACCATCCGTATGCATCGCATCGGCACTGTTCATAACGAGGACAACTGCGGCCCGTTAGCATCTCCCGCCCCAATCATAAAAGACCGGAACCCGAAGAACTTACTATATGTCCTTCATGCCGAAAACAACATGCCACACCTTCTCAAACACCCACCCGACGCCAAAACTATCCGTCAACTCCGTCTCCGCCGCCCACTTAAGCATCCGCTCGTAATCGTGTCGCGGTCGCTGGAGGATCCGTTCCCGGCTCACGGCGAACTGTCCGCAGCAGACATTGCCGATATGCTGGGGAACCTTCTCCGGGCCAACATTGAAGAGAGTCTGGTAGACCTGGGGGAAGTACGCGCGGATGTCGTCTTTTTCGATGTCAATCTGCGTCGGGTCCCATGGGTTGACGCTCGTCGGGCAACCAGGGTTATGCTCGCAGCGGAGATTGACATATCCTTGCGCGTCGACGGCTTCGAGACGGAGATGGGGCAGCACCGAGCTGGTGCGCGGGCCGAAGAGGTCGTTGTGCCACTGGTCAACGTTGGAGTGGATGAAGATGGTGTACTTTGGGAGTTGGTCGTAGTAGTCTACCAGATAGGATAGATAGGCGGTGGCCTCGCGACCGCGAGTTGTCTCAGGGACGAGAAGGTAAGGGGCGGGAGGGGTATCTGTGGTATAAATGAAAGGGATTGTTCCGCTGTGGGCAATTAAGGTTAATCATTAGCATTGAGGCGGTCCGTGATTTAGAGTGGTACAATATCGTACTGATCCCGGCAATAATTGAGGAGCCAGTTAAGGTCCTCTCTTTGCGTGGCTGCTAGCACCAGTCCAACTTCACTTGCATTCGTGTAGGTGTTTGTGATCTCGGATAATTGGCGAAAGACTTGGTTGTTGACGGGCTCAGGCTCTAGGTATATATGAGCCATGATATCATTGGGAATGTGGGAAACTCTCTCTCGGAATGGGGAGATTGGGGGGGGGGGGGGGGGCTGAGATCAGTATACATACCGGGTTGGATGTCCAACGGCTCGCTCATGTATAAGAACATAGTCACCAGAGTGGTGAAAACTAGTGCCAAACATCCTAAACACACCGTTCGAGGGGCAGGCCAGCGAAACAACCGTCTCTTAGACATTTTAGATGTATGAGCACTCTCACGGGCGAGAGGCCGAAATGGGGGAGAAGCAAGGGAATGGCGGAGGGGATGGGAGGATGAAGCGTGTCGAGAGTGGTCGATGCATTGAACTAGGTGTTATCGGCCATTTTGTTGGAGAGTCGATGGACCACTACGATGGAGCCTCAACCCCAAAGCACAAATCCTGGCAGGTCTGCCTCACGTCCTACTGAGAAAAAAAAAAAAACAGAATTGGGGGCAGAACCTGAGTGGATCCATATGGATGGCTTCACGGTAAGGGGCGAATCGCATCCTAAATATCAACTAATGGTTCTCCAATCAACAGAATCTGGATGAGCGGAAGGCCCCAGTGGGGCCATTACTGTCATACCATTGGTATGTGGCACGAGCCACCCAACTACTAGTCTTCGTCACCATCGCCCTTTAGGATTAGGGACAACTTATTTAACTTATTACAATGTCTTTGAGCCCCAAGGAGAACCAATGGGGACATTTTTGATGTTGGATCGTTCTTCGAATCGTAGTGCCTAGGTGGGTAATAATCACTGCTCGGAATTTGTTTTTTTCATCGGCCCTCCCAGACTGGCACGCTCAGTGACGACGAAGCTTGCGTGGCACCTTGTGTGATTAAGTAGACAGCAGAATAGTCCCGATTTAAACTGACAACCAATCACCTACCAAGCCAAGATGTCCGCGGAATACAAAAGTCCTGTCAATAAAATACCTAACTACTCCGGAGTACAGTATAAATAAGTGATCTGTCATGGCTGAGACCTTTCCCGCAAATTATATATGCATATCATTTCCGTGCCGCGTCCACCATTGGTGTGATTAATGATAGCCCCGCCTATTTATTTTTATTCTGATTCTGATTTTGAGCCCGAAAATTCAAGAAATTTAACGTGACGACTTTCCTACTGAAGTTTAGCGACGTGCAGTGTTAAATTCTAGGTCTGGTTAGGCGGAGCAATCCGTCCCGTGTCAGGAACCAGGAGCTCCACCAGATCACGCCTCGAGATCCACAATGAGTGACTTTGACTGAGGAAGAGATATCGCAGACTACCTCAATGAGCATCCGGAGTAGTCAAGTGTGGAGGATTGACATTAACTGGACATGGATATTGCCATGTCATCACTAGCAATGGACAGCGAAAGCAACCTGGTAAAAGTAGTGGAGGGATCACTATAAGTGGACTATTTTTTATACCAAAGGCATTGCGAGAATCACATTATTATATTAAGAAGAGAAGGTGTCTGTCAAACGCGTCCCAGAAAGGGACACCTATTCGAGATCTGTCGGCTATTGTTCCCTCGCGTGCCTAGATCATATGGGTAAGCCGGCCTCCAAAGTATTAATCAACACCTGGGCAAGGATTTGAATACTCGCTAGTTTGTTCATAGGCGCCAAGGGCTTTGATTACTTGAAGTCACGCACTCGATGGGTAAGGCAACTCCTTGAAATAGGGAAAAGATGTTATAAAGAGGGTGAAATATGATAAAGCATACTAAAGAAGGTAAGATATACCAGGATGTGTAGTGTACGGAGCTCCGCCAGTAGATTAGCATCTGATGGCTCAATGGGAATGCTGACTGGTTAAACAAAAATTGTTCCCCTGCAAAGTTTTTTGACATGGGTTCGAGCACCTTCGGGTCTAACATTACTTTGTACTCCGTAGGAATATTTTCCCGGCTATCGGTTATGATTATTTATAGTAAGCTTAAACAACTCACAGTTACTATATAGAAAACAATAAAAATTGCATGAAAAATATACAGGAAGTAATTAGATAGAAATACAGAAGGATATAAGCTATAAAAGAATCCTCTTCTAGGTTAGCATCCGTCAATTCTTTTTTGTCATGCGTTCGATCTCACCACAACTTTCTTTATTTTCTGCTGACGACGAATGTTGCTTCTGAATCATCTTAATTATGCACCAATAATTTGTCTCTGTTCATTATTAAGGAGCACATCCACTAATACGGCTAAGAATCTTTCTCACTAATACTATACAATCTACTCGGTGGGAGCCAGGCCAAAGTTGAGCGAGAGGTGCATAGTCGACAAGCATTCTCCCTATTATTTCAATTCCCAATGTCATGATAGTCTTGTCATAATTATCTACATTCCTCCTCCTGGGTATTCAGTATCATAGATATAGTGCAATCTGGGAGCGTTTTGGATACTTATCTTTCAAGACACCACTCTATCCTCTTTCGGATTTCCCCTGTACACTTGAAATTCCCTGTTGGCAGTCCGACGCTGGGATACTACATTCATATTTCAGACAAGTAGACTACTCATATAGACGCTGATTATCTACTACTGATCGTATTTACAGAATGTGGGTCGGTTGACCAGTCACTCCTTCTCTCCGCCATGGACTTTTGTTTCGTCCCCAGCTAAGCCAACGTGGTGTACAGCCACAGGTTGGAAATGCATCTCGGCCGGGAAAGGGACTCTGCATAGCGGTCAATGAGAGCTATATGATGTGGGAACCTTAGTTCACTTGAATGAAAGATGCATCCCACAGCACGGTGACAGGGTGAATGGACTTACGGGAAACCATCAGAGCAAGTGCAAATCAACCGAGTGAAAAGGAAACGAGCCTCTGGGACGATCCGATACCTGCAAGATGCAAAAGAAAATGGGGTTAGCCTGGGCGAAAGTTATCCTTGGTTAAGCCGGCTTCGCATGAAATCTCCCAATTCTCACACAGCAGATTAGCATTCTCTTCAGCGGGCTTCCTAGCAGCCCTCAGAAGGATTACCAGTTTCATCATTGATTCTTGGATGATGTAACCACCTATTCGTTTCCCTGAAACAAAGACCAGTTTGCCCATGGAGACCAATCCCAAACGCCCAGACAAAAGAGATGGGGAAGATGTACATTGCGAGGAAAGTGGATTCAAGAACGAAACAGGCTGGGAGGAAATGAATAAGAGGAGGAGAAGAACTGATGAGAGGAAAGGTAAGGGCAAAAGTCCAACCCGCTGTTGATCTACAAAAGGAAGGTGCGCACACCTCATCCACGAAGGGCAGGCGCGGAAGTCGCAGAGGTCTCGTGCCCACAAGTCTTCTACAAGATGCGTCTGTGATTGCTATCAATTGTGCATGTAACATGGTCGATTGTGGAGCTCTACCCAAGGCATGAGAAGAATTCACAAGTTGTATATGTATATGTGTGTAAGCCTTGCTACAATGAGTTCCTATCCGGGACACACACATTGGACAAATGGAACGAACGAAAAATGAGGGAAAGAGCGCGGGAGAAAATGGGAGAGAATTAATTTAATAGAGAATGAAGGTGGACCTATTCTATCAAACAATAATACAGTAAGCAGTATCGGCATGGTAACAGTGAGAAGAGTATGGATGTATAAATCAGTATAAAAGATGCCAATCTTACTCGACCAAAACATTCTACGGCGCTAAGGTCGTACCTGGGACACTTTATCCCTAACAGAAGATACGCGATGAGAGTCCAAAGGTCACTCCGTACAAACTAGCCAACGTTCTCAAGTAGGTGTAGGAAGGGCCTTAGGAACTCCATGCTGAGTTGATTAGGACTTATAATTCCCTGGGACAACGTATTTCAATGTTTTAATATTCGTTAATCCACAGCATCTGGTATGACATCCGCGTAATGTCTGGCCCCAAGCACTCAATGAGTGTGTGATCCACACTTGATCGTATTAGCCAGATTTCCAGCAAGCGGTCGAAGAGTCATATGGATCAATATATCACTATTAAGAAGGATCTAATGTTAATTATAGAGTGAGGCAAAGGACGGAACATCAAGTAACAATATTGATCGTTCTTATTCTGCACACTGCAACTGTAGTAGGTTCTCCATCACCTTATTACTAGTATCTACAAAGTGGAATTGTTTGGCAATGAAGTTAGACAAAACCCTTTCTAAGCCATACCTTGTCCATAAAACTTGGATGGACCAGAGGGAGTTTACTGCATGGCGACGCTTCCAGAAACAAGTCTAACTGAACCGACTTAGAGAAGATCCTGCCGCATTTCTCTGTTATTGACTCTTTTGCATGGCGGTAACTGTGCTATAACCAGCATAGAAGTATTATCTGATAAGTCTCGACTTATTCAAGCTGATAGTGGTGATACCACTCGGCTTCCTGTGATTGAGGTTGATCTTGAGGTTGATCTTGAAGTGGGTGGACTTCCAGAACTATTGAACCTTCCAACCACTGACAATACTCTGAACCCATCACGATACAGGCCACCGATAATAGCTCCTCATATGGACAAGGATTGTCAGATGCATTCTTTCTCGAGCTATGATACAGGATATTGACGACTACTAGGTTAGCTTACTCAACTTCTCTCTCTTCATCTGCACTTGCATATCGCTATGAAAATGGCAAACGCTATCATGGTTACCCCAAACACAGCAAAGTCGATGCATTCTCATAGTATGGCAGAATACCTTGGACCCAATGACGAACAAGAATTCGCTAGGCTTGGTATGAGATGCTACTGGTAATGATAAACAGGAAACTGTTTCTGGCCCCTATCGAGTCTCCGCCAGGACGTGTGTTAGGCCTCGGCGCTGGAACAGGAATATGGGTAATGGATTATGGTGAAGTCCCTAGATCAATACGCCTTCAGGTTCTGTACTAACTTGAACAGCCGACAAGCCACCCATCAGCGGAGATTGGGCCGATCTACATTAAATTAGAGCAACGAGCCTTGAACTGACGTTAGCGCTTTCCAGGGTATTGGAATGGATTTGAGCCCAATACAGCCTCAATTGTGGGTCGTCAACTTCTGTGTGCTGGGCCCCACTGATAGAATGATGTCGCAGTGTCCCTCCAAATGCTAGGTCCTTGGTCGACGACTTCGAGAATGATTGGATCTACCAAGACCAATTCGACTTCATCCATGGTCGATATTTGGCTGGAGCTGTGAAGAACTGGCCGAGGCTCATAACTGAGGCATACAAGTTGAGCCTCCCCTCTCACAACATGATCCCCTGATTTACTTCAACAGGTACACGAAGCCTGGAGGATAAGTTGTGTTTCAGGACTGGGATGTCGAGGATGGGTCCATCAAAGGCACCTCGGTTGAGAAATACTACTCGGTACTTTGTGGCAGTTTCACCAAGGCCGGGTTTATGATTAGTCCAGGTCCGTCTAGGTGAGTGGCTCCAAGAAGCAGGGTTTGAAGAGGTTCACGTGCAGAAGTACGGTGCTCCTGTTGGAGGCTGGCCGAAGGATCAAGTATTATGTATGCGGGACCAGGTCGACCGCTGGTAGTGCTGATCTAACTGGCTTCGAGGCAGGGGCCATGGCGACCCTCACAAGGTTTGAAGGCTGGTCGAAAAGAGGAGGTTAATGTGCTTGTGTCAGGGGCGAAAAAGGATGTCCGGAATCCTAACGTGCATACTCCGTACTATAGCCCACTTGTGAGCTGGAAGCTATATTGTCCGCTAAACCGTTTCGCAGCCATGTTGTGTGTGGCCAGAAACCTACATCGCCGACCGAGCCATAACCTTGAAGTTTTAAGAAGTCCATATGGGTGGAGCTGTCAACCTCCCCTGTGGCAAAAAGCAATACCGCCCTATCATGGTGGACTATAGGCGAGGACAACCGATGCACCGACGGGACTCGCGCGACCCTACAGGGAGGAAAGTGGCGTGGATCTTCCCGAAGACCGATTGGTTGTCGTATCAAGGAAGTGACGCTTCGCCACCGACCCGAATTTCTCATGCGACTCGATCTAGACTATCGACAAAGGGGATTAGCTGGGGGTGGTTAGTATGATGCCGATTGCAGCTGAGAAATTGCAACCCGTGGATGTTGTTCATTTGCCCGCTGGTCTCGATTTGGGGATACCACACAAAATTCCTGGAGTCGAGTTACTACAGCATTAACTTTTGTTGAAGACCGAGGAAACCAGTACATATTCAATAACGGAATACGTCATGGCGCTGAAGGGTGACATGCCTTCGCCACGACGAGTGCCTCTATGGATCAATTAACACCAGCACAAGAATATACTAGTACACTCTATTCCCACCACAGAGTGACAACACCGAATAAAATGTCGTCCCCACGTGGCATTGACCAGAGGCAGTGTCACTAAACGACCAAGAAAAACGAGCAAGGAAGATTCTTCCACCGAGTGGATCAGCCGATCATGACTAAGAATTCCTCAAACGACCCTCGTCGAATTTCCCTCCTTGCTTAAGGGACCTGAGCTGCAAATTCCCCTACCAGTTTCACAACGTCATGAGAAACAGTTTCGCATACTCTTGTAGTTCCCGATAACACAATCTGGTTTAGGATATATAGCTTGAATTGAGTCGTTCATGAAGACAAATTCATGTGTGACGAACTCCGCCAGTACTACTTACGTGCGTCAGAAGCTATTGCCACTAACATGTCCAGCAGGATCACAAACAGATTTCCATGACTCGCCCGGAAAGCATCCCATATCTTTAAATCATGAGTCCACGACTTGAGAAGCATTCACCGTCACACGCTGGGCGGTCCCCGTCTCACTCCTCAGAGGATGGAGGTTCCCGCTTCGCCTTCGTAACCGAGGGCACCTTGGCTGAAGCTCGCAGTCATGCAATGCGGGAGCACTGGAGACAGCGCCAACGGCGCAAGCAAAAATCAGAAGATCGCCGAACCCAGAGGAAAATATTGCCTCACACAAGCCCCGTGGAGAATAGTAAACCGAAGCCAAACCGCGCTTCTGAACCAGTAGTTGACTATGAGTGTACCGAGGATGTGTTCCTGCTGCACCAGCCCAGTCCGACTCGTATAAAAACCAGATCCTCAGATTACGGCGAAGAAAACACCGAAGCCCAGCATGCTGGGGTGCCAATACAGGCCTTAACCGGACTCAACCACGCCCTCGCGTCTTCCAGGCTCGACCCCTTCGAGATGTTTCCGGTTCAACTGACAAGTAAACATCACAAATTGCTCCATCACTGTGTGTTCGATGAGGGATAATCCTATGTGCCAGAGTGGCTAATTCGATACCAGGGCTAATTACCCACGCGACTATGATGTTCGAAGATGTCGCCATTCCGAGCTTCAACCCGATGAAAGATGTTTGGTTCCCACTGGATCTCTCCAACGCTGCTTCTTTCTATGGTATCATGGCCCACTCAGCAGCTCATCTGGACCATCTCTACGCGGGAATGAACCCTTCAAAAGGAACCGTCTCTACCGATGCGTTGAAGTATAAATCAGAGGCAGTGAGCATACTCTCTACATGGATGGCCGACCCAGAGAAATCGCTGAGTAACGATGCCTTTGCTGCTGTTATTCGGCTTTTAACATTTGAGGCACGTTCGCTCCCTCTCGCAATGTTTTCCCAATCTGCCCCTCTTCTCTTCCCACTCGGCTTGCCTGGTGGCTCAAATTGATACATGACTGACTCATGTGCAGAGATACTGGGGGACGGAAGAGGAGTGGATGGTGCATCGCACTGGCCTTCAAAGAATGATTGACGCACGGGGTGGTATTGATAAACTGCACGATAATTGGCGGCTGGAGCTTGTTGTTTATCTGTAAGCTTCTATATGGCTATGGCAGTGTCATAGCTAATGTGTCAAACAGTGTCTCCTTAATGTCCAAACCAACGTGGTTCGCGTCGTCGAACAACATATCAGAAATATCCGAACAGTCCTTCCACAATGCAGCGAAAGCAGCATTGGTGGATACACAGAAAGTCCGCTGCCTATGGCTGATATCATTCATCCAGGACATGCGAACTCTCATGGCATTTTCATCTCGGCTATATATGGACGGTCTTGCGTCTTACCCCTCTCTGTACGATGCCGTTTTACTCCTACGGTCGAATTTCCACCTAGCCAACGAGAGTCCTCCCCAGACTGCCAGTTTTCCCTCCGACTACGATAGACTGGCTTGCCTATTCTCCATCTGCATAACGATGCAAGAATCCATATCCCGCTCGCCAGTCACGGCAGCGTTACCCGCGCCTGAGATTTATAACGACATGGCATTACTGGACGTGGCTCTTGCAACCTCGCGAAACGTATGGGAAACATCGGTATACAGTCTGCGTGCATTCCTGCATCACCACTTCGTGACATATCACCCAGACGGAGCCGCGAAAATCGACTATGTCATGAAGATGACGGACGTTCTGGGCCATCTGAGTCTTGAGGCACGTAGGGGTGTCGAAAAGTGTCTTTTGAATATGCTGTGTCGTGCACGGGATGGCAAGCTATTTTTCTTAGCTGATGATAGCTGGACTCCTGATTCGCTGCTGTCGTCTGTGCACGGCCAGTAATTTTTTGTGGTCTTTCTTTCCTTCTTTTTCTGTCTTCATGCTTTCTTCGAGCTGACTGCTTTTCGGCGATATCTATTTCTTGCGGCCGCTATATTTCCCCGCGTCTCGGAGATGAACGGTCAATTTATCAACCCTAATGTATATACCTTATGGCAGATATTAACAACAATTCTATATGAATCAGGATACTTAGTTTCATTAAGTCGATATATCCCTACTTAAGCACACCTGGCCACCGAGCGAACGCGATTTCACCGGGCCGGATTGCCTATGCGGAGGTCCTACGGTCGATGAAACGGTGTAAGCTGTATACTTGATTTGAGTGTAGTGGAAGTACAGCTAACTAAAACTGGATGGTAGAACTTTAGTGATTTTATAGAATTCTTCGGTTCCTCCACCGATATACTAATCCATAGCTTCTAAAAATACATACTATGGAACAGGATCGGGACAAGGATCGGGACATAGTTCTTGATTCACTCTTTTCTTAGAGTCCTCATAAGGATAATCTTTCCTCTTGTGAATGACATGTTTTGGATCGTTCTTCCAGTCTTTCTATATGACATCGTATTCCAAGTAGTAGGACATGTCGACCGCTAGGTCAAGGTGAAGATATGGTTCTGGTTTTCTTGGGAAATGCACCCTCAGAGAATGGAGTCTTGAAGGAAACTAAAGATGGATTTTTAGTTATGTTTATATCTAAATAAAGCGAGGGTGTAAAATGAGAATTGTCTATACCCGACTTAACCTCTGATGATATTTAACTGAGTCAGTTCACATTTTGTGTTATGTACATCTGCATAAGGGTGTCCAGAGACAATTAGATGTGATGAGCAGCTTCCAGAGGCAACCTTTAAGAATTTCTAGGACCGTCTGGTATTGTTTGGAGGAGGAACCGAAAGTGTGTGGTGAAAGGGGAACAATACTAACAACTTCCCCGCGCTACGAAAGTGGAACTGAAAATTAACTCTGATAAGCTCGCGTCACCCGAGATTTTTTATCGCCAATCGGTCTCCGGAAATTTACCTTGACCACTCACTTGGTCTCTTGAGCTCTAGATTTCTTCCTTACGCCTCGACCGGTCTCCACCTGATGCAGGGTCCTTGAAGCTTTTTTCATCTTCCATTGACGGTTTCTACTTACACCCGTGGCTACTATAAGCACCACAATGGCCGACACAGACGAAGCCGCCATTCACCTTCCGTCGCATGACTCCGCGACACACATCGACACGGACTTGTCCGATGAGACGCAGGACTTTCGCATGCTAAGCAATCTTTCCTTGTCAGTATTGCTGGTTCCTAGCCCACACGTATTATGGTTATATCATGGACTGACTTGGAGAATAGCCTCGCAGATACGTCGCAAGCTACTCTCCCCAAACGCGGTGAGAAGGACTTCGAACCGAACCCAACCCTGTACCAAGCCGATATCCTAGATGCCTCACGTCAGGCTATGCACAATGCCCTTGCGCATCCGCGGTTACACAATCCAAAGAACCAGATCATTGGCATCTACGCGCCCGATGGACCTGCTCCGCCTCGATCATTAGCGACGCCAAAAACACTAGACACCATTGCAGAGAATGATACCCCAGCACAGACCGCCGAGGCAGAGGAAAGTCAGTCTAAAAAGCCTGCAGGCACTGGGGCAAACGTCCATCCGGATTCCTGCGTCTACGTAACGAACCCGAAGGGACAGTTTTTCAAGAACATGGGGCGCGCGGATCGGTGGGGTCGGATCTGGCTTCTGCCAGAGGAAGCTTTGTATATGCTTGAGCGAGGCAGTCTGGATGTTAGGTGGCCGCAGTCAGCAACGGGATGTGAGGATGATGGTGAGACGGAGGACTCTGGGATCCCGATGAGCTTGCAGGCTGCGTATGCGTGTTTCATTGGACATGGGGGGTTGACGATCGATCGGTTTTCTGTTTACTCCGGATTGAGGAGGTTGGGTTACACACTTATCCGAGCTCCTGGGTGGTACGATGAGGCGGAGGAAGAGTTCGAGGACCCAGAATCAACCAAGCGACAAGGTCCGGGTCTGGCGGGAATCTATGGGCGATTTATGAATTGGCTGCATAGCTCTACTACCACGGCTGTAGGGCCTGTTGCTGGCCTTGGGATCCATCGCAATTACAGTGAGTCAGGCTAAAATTGTCTCTGTAACGTGGTTCCGTTCTAACGCTATACAGATGATATCTACCGCAAGCTTTCGATAATTCCTTTCTACGATCCTACAACTCCTTTATCCCAAGCCCCGCAGACGAAACCGCCATTCCGCGTTGTATTCTATGTCTACAAGCCATCTACTCCATTCCGCAAATCTGCCCCTCCTGCACCGGACTTCAGAGTTGCTGTCGTCAATGCTCGCACGCAAACTACGGTGCCAACGTTAGCTCAACTCGGCACCCTCCTTGAGAGCACACCCTTGGATCCGCCAAAAGGCGAGAAGATGGAAAGAATGCTCTACATGCGACTCCGACATGGATACCGGAACGTTGTCTTGGCGGTTGTCGACCAAGGCGTTGTAAGCTACCTCCGGGTCGCCGATGCAGCGTTTGGAAAGGAAAAACTATATAATAGACCTGCTCCTTCCGGGAACAAACGGGGTGCGAATCCTCGCAACCCCCGGCCGAAGCCCAAGGGTCGGTGATGCCAAACGTCATTGGCAATGATTCTGGTTTATAAGTACACAACATACCAAGAAAGTTTCCAGATTTATACGGCGCTACCCGGACCATGAGGCGACAGCACAGCCATTTTTATTCTGGGTCCACACTAATCTTGGCTGCCATGAAGTATGGTACGAAACAGAGATGTCTCCCCAGGAATAAGGTCTCGATCTCCATGGCGAAGAAGGATGAGGACCTAGTAGAAGGAGGGAGAATTGACGTCATCTGCCATCATCTTTAGGACGTCCGTCTATGATGAAGATCGGACGTAGATGCTCAGATGGCGTGCAGTATTCATAGGGAACGAACAAGGGCGTGGGTTTCCATACCAGAACATGATGTATTGTGTTCATGTCATACCTTTTACCCTCCATAGCCGTCAGGAAACGATATTCTAGTAGTGTCAACCGGGACAAACCCATATATACACGAGGCCCAACGCCATGCGCACTATCCTACCCACGATCAAACTCCGCCCGTAAAAAAAATAATTGAAATAAATAAATCATCCAGATCATAACGCAGAAAGGGTATGTCGCCTAAAGCCTGGTCAGCACAGCACCCAATAAGATCTAGATTATCCCTGACATACGGAGGTAAAAATCATGTATCCAGGTAATCCGCCGCCATCAACAACTCTAGACACAACTCCGCCGGAATTTCCATATCTGGAACATTTGACTGGTTCTTATTCTTCTCGTTATAGCAAAAGTACTCGCAGACTTTCTCGAGAACGATTCCGCTGATATTCTCTAGTGTGCAGCGACCTGTCAATGCTTCGGCAAATTTACCTAAATAACGAACTCACAGTAAGCACACTGAATCCCAGAAGATAGCACAGCGAGGACGGATTAACAAGAGGCAACAGGGAAAACGAACTAGAAGGATCCAGCATCCGACGTATCGTCCCAGAGACACAGGCCGCGCTGCGCGGAAGGACAAATTCAAACCCATCACCCGAGACCAAAGTCACGAACTCTGAGTCGGCGGCTGAAGAAGCCATTTTCCCGTTAAGGTTGTCAGAGCGGAGGTGATATGGGGAGGAGATGGTGACAGCTGGATTTGATCAACGGTGGACGCGGGACAGGACAAGAGAGATAAGAGACGCGGCGATGTCGTGACGGAAGTTTTAACTTTCTCCACGTGGTCTGTGCGGAAGCTTTCCGATGAACTGCTTTCTTAGTCTATTTTAATTTCAATGTCCGGCTTTATATACTTCATCTGGCATGTGTGCTTCTTGCATGGTTTGTTGAGTTGATTGCTTTCTTCTTGGTACGGTTGAAAGGGTTGGAGGCTTTCTTGGTTTTCTTTCTTGTTTTCATTTCAATCGCTTTGAGTGTTCACATACATTCAGACTCAATAATCAACAACTGCCTTTCATCTCTATACATCTAACTCAATCGAGACGTGGCCGGGCTTGAAAAAGCACAATCAACCAGAATGCAAACAATACGACTCAGCATGCGCTGCGCAGCAATGCCAACATCGCACCTCCCCTCTCTAGGCCGCCAATTCAATAGGCGCATATTGAACACAGCTCTCTCCCCAGCCTGCAATGCCCCGCCAGTGTCACAAAGACGATCTCTCTCATCCCAGTCACCCAGCACCTCAGCACGCCTCACCGGCCGTACCTGCATGATCACAGGCGGGACATCAGGCATTGGATTCGCCATCGCAAACCGATTTCTCCAAGAGGGCGCAGAGCGCGTCATTCTCGTCGGACGATCGTACGAGCGGCTCCTCAAAGCCGCCGCCAGCCTCCAAGTCCATGGTGAAGGTGCCCAGAACCAAGAAGCGGCTGATGACACAGCATCAAAGTCGCAGGGGACTCTGGTCGAAACGTCGGATAGAATAAGTCTCCTTGTGGGCGATGTATCGGAGGCTGGATCGTGGCTACGTGAGCTGGAGAAGGCGATGGTATGTTGTGGTTACATTTCTCACTTTGTTATTTTTTGGCTTTGTTATTGTCTTCGAACGATGGTTTGGCTGACAAAGGATCCTAGCAACCAGTCGACATCCTAATCAACGCAGCTGGGATCTCCCACTCCAATATTCTTCCCAAGATGTCTCCCGAAGATATCTCACAAACCCTCCGGACAAACCTTGAAGGCGCGATCTTGGCATCCCGCGCGCTTCTCCGTGCGTCTCTCCGCAACAGGGTAAAAAGCCGTTCCGGCGAGACCCGACCTGCATCTAAATGTATCATAAACATCTCATCATTACTAGCGCTGAAAGGCGGAACCGGCGCAGTCCCATACGCCGCTTCCAAAGCTGGGCTTCTCGGCCTCACCAGGTCGTTAACAGTCGAGGCGGCTGGTTCTCTGCGCAATGTGGTCGTGCGGTCGAATGCGATTGTGCCGGGCTATATTGAGACGCCGATGATTGCGGACTTTAGCGAGGGGCAGAATGAGAGGTTGAAGGAGAGCATTCCGCTAGGTCGGTTTGGGGCACCGGAGGAGATTGCGGATGCGGCGGTGTTTCTGGCAGGCAATGAGTATGCGAATAATTGCGTCATTAATTTGGATGGGGGCTTGAGTGCCGTCTAATCTACTGTATTATGTCTGGGGTTGGTTGTGTGTATATATGATGAGGACGTCAGTGAGGGCCGTTAGAATGCTAGTCCCTCTCAGGCTTTAGTGCAGTGTAGGATAATCTCAATTATGATAACAAGTAAATTCATCGACTCATCTGTGTATCTTTGTTGGAACGCCACGCCGAAGTATGCACATTATGACTTCGGTCAAACTAAAAAGTACCAACGGTAATCCCTTCGTCCAATCTATTCGGAGCAAACGCATGATATGTTACAGTAGATAGAAGGGGATAGAAGTAAAAAGAAGATATCTCTGGTGATCCGCCCAAAACTCAAGAAACAACCAATGTGTGAGAGGAAAACATTGCATAGGGAAATATGTCGGAGGTTGAGTGGAGATAATTGGCCTCCATGTGCCTCTGTTTTGTTCGTTCAGTCGTCAATCAGAATTGCACCTCCTTCCGTCTCATCTAAGACGATAGGATTCGATCCATCGCCGTCAGCGACAGAGATACTAGCCACGCGCTTTGAACGGTCTTCACCGTTAGTAAGGCCGGCTTCCTCGGCATTACGCTTGCGCTTGTTCGGATCTGAAGTGCCATTAACGTGCTCGCTAACGGTAGGCGTAGGTGCCTGTGGTTTCCGGGGAATTTCAGGGACCTTGACTAAAGTGATTGGCTTTTGTTCTGGTGCCGACGACTCGGGCCTATTTAATTGTCAGTAATCTATTCAATTAAGTCGGTTGACTTCAGAGGTAGATAGCCGGAGGCTTACTTCTCAGTCATGACAACTAGTTCAAGGTTCACACGCGGTTGCTCGTCCTCCTCGTCTATGATTGTGATGAGGCTTTCATTGCTCACACCCAGTTCCGATAACTTTTTAGTCAAATTGTCTTCCAGGTCGGGGTCATAAATTGTGCCCAACTCGTTGCTGACTGAAAGCTCTTCACCATACCCTAGCTGCGAGCGGAGGATATCCTGCACCAAGTCGTTGATTGTGGCCTGCTCCGGGTTAATCTTTACCCTGGCCTGGGCGACCGAGCAAACAGGGCAGTTGGGGTTGGGTGGCTTCAAAGAATCGGAATTAATTGCACGGGCACCTGATCGTTCGAGAAAGATCTATTTTGGACGAGTTAAATCGAGGCCACATGACTCAAGGCAAAAGATACCTACCATTTTGGCATGTCCGTAGTCATCCTTCAAGACCTTGAATGCCTGTAGGACACATAGGCCAGCAGTCATAGCGTTTGTGGTCGCGATTGCTGGTATAATATTACCAGCCATTTCTGCTCACAGTCAGCAAAACCTGGGTCTGTCACAGCGTCCCATTGCTAAAGCACTTACGTTTTGTATCGAACTTTGATTTAGGCTCAATCCCGAATATTGTTGCTCGCAGGTTAGCACTGGCGGTGACAAAGTCTAGTGTATCCACATCGTCCTTATCAAACACCAGGATGGGCTTGACGTCATTCTTTGTGGTGTCTAGCAGTGTCTTCAGCCGTTTGCTCAGTCGATCCAAGCTGTGATACATATCAGTCAAAAGAATCACCACTGGAGGAACGAGGAATAAGTCGAACCTATCCTTAAAAACGACCAAGTCCTCGGCCAAAGTCCAGACTTTTTGATCGTTACTAGAAATAGTAGGCTCAATTGACGAAGCATCTCCCTGTATCTTCTCAAAGTCCAGGGGCTCCGGGGCCTTGCGGGTCTTCCACATATCCTCCATACCGCGTAGTCGGTCTATGTCCTCCTTGAAAACCTTTGTAAATACCTTGTGAGCGAATTCGGGGGAGCCCATTGATTCGCGGATTTCTTTGAGAGCCTGTGCCTCTTTTCGTAGATTCGCAATTTCTTCCGCTGGGCAGAGTTAGCAATCTTTGCCCAAGGCTGGGTGGAAATTCATCAATATGACTCACCATTACTGGCATCTTCAGTACTATCCAATTCTGGCGTCTCGTCCTCACTTGTCCCAAAAAGCTCGCTAGACCTGCTTAGTGTATATCTTGCCGAGTATACCCTCTCCAATAACTTACGGGAAAAGATAGCTTTTCGCCCAGACAATACAATGAATAGGTTGGCTCGGGGTACTGCGGATGGTGCACACGGGGAATGACTTGGGGACTTCCTTTGAGTTGCAATCGTAGCATTCCGTTTGGCCCTGTCGGCGGTCAATTAAACCCAGCAGACTCATGTGGACGCAGTGGGCCGCCCCCATATCCTACCTTCTTGATGACCTGAACCTGACCGTTAAATCCGGTAGTTCCGCTTTCGATCAGTGGCACATCAGCAGCTAGGCACATCCTGTTGACATGGCGACGCGCGTCCAGATTGTCAAGCGCATTGAAGACCACGTCGAAATTCGCGAACCAATCCACGTTGAACCGGCTGTCCTTGATGTTCGCATGGTAGGCTTCGAGCTTTGCGCTTGGTTGAAACTTCTGGGCAACTTCCTTCGCGACCTGTGTTCAGGAAAAGACATTCGTCAGATTCTCTTCGTCCTGAGATAATGAAAGGTGCCGGAAGGGTATCAGGGTGGGACGTTGCGCAGGTGACGCCACGGGCGGGGCATAAAGGGTGGACGGTTCAGTGTGTGACGCACCAATGCCTTTGATTTTTTAATGTGTTCAAAGCGAAAGAGGAACTGACGATTCAAATTGCTCAGGTCGATGGTATCAAGATCGATGATGTGGATTTCGCCAAAGCCAGAGAGCAAGAGGTTCTTCAGCAGCTCGCAGCCGATCCCACCAGCGCCCACAAGGAGTACGCGCGACTAGAGAGAATGACATGAATCAGCTTCTGAGATAGAAACGAGCACAACCACAGGGTCAGAAGTATTATACATACCTCCTTTAAGCGTCTGGACAAGGTCCCGAGCGAGCGCTTGGAGTAGGTGTCTCGCGGCATGATTGAGGGCGCGAGAGCAATGTGAAGGTGGAATGAGTGGCAGCTGAGGTCAGAACAGGGCGACAGTCATCGCCAAATGAGAGAGGATTCAGCAAGGAACAGTGAACAGAGCGACGCTGCAGGGGACAGCAGAAATGAGCGAAAGTCCAGGACCGGATGATTGATTTCGGGAAATGCGAAATGCGTCGGAGAAGCACCGCGCTTTAATTAGTCCCGAATTGGGGGCCTGGAATGAGCAATGACGACACCGCTGTCCAGAACACGAGACTTCCTATTCCTTCTTATATTTTTGTTATTTTTTCCCTTCTCCCTTTTAATGAGTAAGGAAAAGCTAGTCATGCATAATAGTGGTTCTACTAAAAGTCTCGGACAGCGGATGCGATCGCACGATTGGACCCTAGAGCAATCAAGCTGAATTGAATTTATTGGTCATCCTCTTTTTATGCGGTGTTCTTGATCACATCAGGCTAGTCCCACTTATTGGCCATCCAGCTTCCCACATTCAACCAGAACGTACAGTAGCTTTCCTACTAGAAAAAGTACATTCAATGATATTTGGGGTGGGAGAAATGTGTACATACATGCATTGCAGAAAGTCGTCCCTTTATATGAACAATTTGGTCAGTCTAACTGGGGAATTGATTCCCTGCTGTTCAAATCACACATATTGGACCGAGTGACTGCAGCTAGTCATGAATTCATTGAAGAGTTCTATCTACCATAGTACTTATTTGTAACACAATTTACCATTATAGCATGTCCTCAAAGGTCAAACATGGCGTTGGGAATAAATTCATGTTTCGGTCCTGCACGAAGAGTACAACGAGGATATTATTAGAAGGCCCTATCAATGATCAGATTATTTGTAATGACTTCTTTCTTGACTCCTACAATTCTCCAAGGCAATCTTGTTTGCCGGACCAAGCGTCCGCACTCCGGCCCATACTGTGTAGTAGGCGGATCCAATGCAAGCCCCCAAAAAGAGACCATGAAGTGGAAGATCGCTCATACTCCCCAGTATTATTAACCATACTTTGGTTAGCCTACCCTCATAAAGCAAAGAAAAGATAGGATGGAGGTGCCCGTGATTATCTGATAATATAGTAGTTGACTCTCTCTAAGACGTGGAAGATTTTCAATGCAATCATAGTAATACCATAGTAAGTGTACATATCTTAGTGGGGAGTCGTTGCTTGTTGCCTGTCCCAATTTTCCACCTTTTTATACCTCTGGTACTTGGATTCAGGTTCATTGGTGAGGAGCCAATCGCAATGTCTCTTGGGCTGACTAACCAGGGCCTTATCGACTTGAACCAAAAAAGAAAAAAGAACCAATGGTCTTAGATGAGATCCATTCCTTTTGTTGAGGCAAGGGTCAATGAAATTTTTTTTGGTTCCATGACATTGTGCGTAAATGAAAGGGGATTTTGGGACCCATTTTTAAATGTCCAAAAAGCAACCAAATTCAAAGGTGTCTATGGGTCCTTATCAAATTAACAAAACTTGACTCGCTATTCTTGCCCAACCGATCGTCCACCAAAGTAACCAGACTTTTTGCCTGATCGTCGCTTTTGGTTCAAGGTTCAAAGGAGTACAAACGGTCGTGGGGAATTCGGTGCGCTAATACTGTCGGTCTTTGTTCCCTCCTTTTCTTTTTTTTCTGTATCAATTATACCTGATTTCCTGCCATTTCCCTTCTCGATCTCTTTGTCTATTTCTCTTTGACTCTTACCCCTCTTAAAAGTAAATTTTGGGGTTTCTTGGATAGTTCTTCCCGGTTTATATCAAGAACCGGAGCACAAGGGAACCCGCACCACTATGTCGGACGACGAAGCAGATCCCGAATTGCTCGCTCTTTTACGCAAGTCCCTCGGGCTAGGAGGAGGGGCAGCAAACCCGGGCGCAGCAGAGACAAAAGTTTTGGAGAATTCGCAGTACGTCTTCGACAATGCTATTGATGTCGCATTGAACCCAGCCAAGACCAAAGAGGCCGCCGAAACCATCTGGCGTTTGATGCAGAAAAAGGAATATTCCACGCAGACATGGTCGGAGCATGAATTACATCCCAAGACCAAGGATGAAAGCACCGTGGACTTCATTTTCACCATGGATTTACTAAACTTCAGTTTTTGGTCGGAGCGCCCGGAGGAGAAACGCTTCGCTATCGAATATCGCGGCAGGAAGTGGACCGGGTACTGGAGCTTAGTGGCTGCGTTGCAGAGGGCTTTGGATGAGGGTAGGTTCTGCATATTTATTAGGATCCAATCCGTAATCTGTTTCGGTGCGCTGTAGATGCTAAGACTTGCAGAGATCCCCATTACAAGCCCCTACTTTTGGGTGAATGAAGACGAATGTTCTGAGTCTCTACTCAAGCATGTGTTTCGATCGGTAACTGCCGAGGAGATTCCTCTCCTGCAAGAGCGTCTCCAGTGCCTGCGGGAAGCGGGTCGAGTCTTGTGCGAAGTATGCCCAGCAGCTCCTGAATATCAGTAGCCTATGTATGTTCTAACAACCTATCTATCTAGGATTTTGAGGGTAGTTTTGTCAACTGTATCTATAACGCCAACTACTCAGCTGCGTCCCTCGTAAACCTTATGGCTGAGAGTTTCCCCTGCTTCCGGGATGAAACCAGCTTTCAGGGACGGAGGGTTCGGCTCTATAAACGCGCGCAGATCTTAGTTGCGGACCTATGGGCCTGCTTCAACGGCGAGGGCCTTGGCGAATTCCACGATATTAACAAGATCACAATGTTTGCAGGTGCGTTCCATCCCTTGATTACCTTCATTAGCCATAATTTCTCAAGTTTTGACGGAAGAAGTCAAGCTAACTATGATCCAGATTACCGAATCCCCCAAATACTAAACCAACTCGGTTGCCTTATGTATTCTCCACCTCTGGAAAGCCATATTCGCGACCTCAAACCAATTCCCAGTGGCTCTACTTGGGAGGTTGAACTGCGCGCGACCAGCATCTGGTGCGTTGAATTGATTAGACGAGAGATTGAGAAGAACCATCCAGACGCGAAGCCCAAGATAAAGCCTACACAGCCTAACGGGCATGTGGCCAGTGTGGATCGCCGCCAAAGCCTCACCACCTTGGCATTAGAAGAACAAAGGAAGTGCACTACACAAAAACACATTACACAAACCAGCCCTGCTAAGCCCGCATCGTCGGGCGTCAATGCAATCTTGATAGATTTCTTTCTGTATGACACCATGAAAGAGTTAGAAAGAGACGGAAAGGAGCAGATTCCCCATCATCGCACAAGGAGTATTTGGTATTAAAGGTTAGAAAACCTTTTGCTTTGCCTGTTGATTTTTTGGTCAATATACCCTTGGCCACTACTGTTAGGGAATTGATGTCTTTGCTTTCTGTGCTTTTCTTTTGCTGTTTGGGGGTTTGCATAGACATCGATACCATTTCTTCTCTGTTTTTCTGTGCTGGCAGCAGCGATGTCTTTTTGGATACCACCACTTTCAGATCTGGACGGCCATCCAGAGCTCATGACCTATGACCTACACATAAACTTCCTTATAGAAATGCCATCTGTCCCTCAGGAGACATGTCGCATATAATCCGACCACTTCTAACCGCCCAACCGTATTAAATTCACGCATCCTTTTAATTTCTTTCCAGAGGTATACTGGAAGCGTCTATTTCTCAAATCCATCTACTTCACCGGTCCTTCATGGGGCACAGCACTCCGACATTTCATTTCCCCTATTGGAAAATTGCTCAGTGCGCCCCGTTTGAAGAAGACATAAAGACGTAAAATTGCGATTTCCAAAATAAACATCTCTCGTTGAAGATGCAGAGAGAGAGCAGCCGTTTAACCGGTCGCCCAGCGCCCCAGCCAAGCCTGACAAAGATAGAAGAAATGAAATGAATAGCATCTCATTCGATACCACTACGAGTCTCTCCCGACGCACTATACAATAACAAAGACATGCACGGCATAAACTTAGATCAGAAAAATTCTCCTACTTGGCGCCGGGGAAGAACTTATATCAACCTCCATCCCCAACTTTCGCTCACTTACAAGCTACTCCCATCTTCTCTCCCCAGCACCATACTCCGCAGGCCCAACAACCAGCAAAGATGTACCGGACCTTAATCCTCCTTCTCGCCACCTACCTGGTAGCCTTAGCCACCAGCCAAACCCTGACCCCAGGAAACACACTCGCGAACCCAGACACGGGCGCAGTGCTCCCTCGACCCGGCTTCCAAATACTACCCAGGAAGGCCCCCCCAAAAAATCCGCCTCCCAAATCACCCCTGCAGCAGGAATGCAAAGACGTCAAGGTCAAAACAGGACCCTTAGTTTCTAAAGGAAGCCTGGAACAGCAGCTCTTGACGGCATCCTGCCGCATCCCAGGATCACAGAAAACCCAGTACTCGGAGCTGAGCCTGGACCGTTGTCTTGGGTGGCACAAGAACAGCGACGGCGGCGGAAGATTTGTCGCGATGAAGCAGTACGTATACTACACTGACCTCTGTTCACCCATAGCATATTGTTGCGAGTGATAGGCTAACGAATGCTAGTGGCGGAGGACTTTCGAAGGCAGGAGGGGAGTGCTCGACTTGTCGGTATCTCAATTCTAACCCTAATCTGCTATGCTATTGTGCGAAAGTGCGTCAGGATGAGATGACCTATATGAACCCGGCTACGGCCACGTGGACAGGTGCCGTCATGTATAACTTGTGTAAGTGGTCTGTGTGATTGATATGGGCTATTTTCTGATTGAGAGATATAGTTGAGGTGCTCCAAGGCGGGAAGTTTTTGATAGAAATCAATGAGAAGGGGGTTCTTTCATGCCATGGGATAGCCGGGGAGTCCAAATAATGACCCTAGAAACTGTCAACAGTTTTAAAAGAGCCCTACAAAGATGGTGTTTTAAATAGAGGCTTGAGCGTGAGGTAGGGGAATGGAACGATATCAAGGTTTTCATATAGATTAATACATAAGACTGTTTGGGTATAGACTCTATCATACATAATAGCAAGTTTTGGTGATACATGGGGTAAAAATGAGGCATTGGCAATGAAGAAAACCAAAACACGATGGAAAAGTAAGGAAACAAGAACGACACTCGCCTTTAGTAACTCCTATCCTCCAGACCCGTTACCCGGAAGAAGTATATATCAGACAGGCAAGGGGCCGAAATGCTGCGCTGCAGTCTTTTGAACCTGCTCAATTCGTGCCAGGACTGTTGCCTTCCACTCAATATAGTCTTCCTTGCGATCGTCGCTTAACCAATCAACACGATCCTGCATCATGGTCCCAAGACCCGGTAGAAGGCCCTTTCTTGAGGAGTGTTTGGCCAGCGAGCGACCCGATTTCGTTGTCTTTTGCCGTTTGGTGCCTTTAGCCCGTTCTTCATCCTCGCCGTAGCCGTCCTCATCCGAAAGATATGCATCGTCCCCGTCCAGTTCTCCAGCCTGCGGGATGTTTTCAAACCATTCCTTTCCATTGGCCCAGCGTTGTTGCATTATCACTGCGATCCACTGGTCGACATCCTCACGATGTCGTCTCTCAGTAGAAGGGAGACCAATGCTCACTAATGCAGTCTGGCGCATCTCAGAAAAGGTCTTCTTGTCGAGCTTCTTAGTTTCCCCTTCCTCTTCGGATAAGGAGCTTCGTCTGCGGGCGAGAGCCAAAAAATACACGGCTACCACTAGAGCATTGACAACCTCTTTATAATCTTCATCGTTCTCTTTATCCTTCACAATCAGGATAGGCTCCACGAACTCTAGGGTTTCTTCGTCGAAATCATCCTCATCCTGGGCGGAAGCCCGTGAAATGAAATATAGGATGGATGATACACCCGCAAAAATATGAGGTGGTAGGGTTCTCGAAATGGGAGGCCGGGACCATGTACTCGTTCGTGGAGCTGGTGTAGATAACGTTTTACACACGCTCCGAATAGATGTCATCACCCAGGCAGGTGCATCGGGAATAATTGTAGAGCCAGGAAGGCCATCAGAGCGAACTTTGGGCTTTTGGGGCGTCTGGGAGCGCGATTCGCTTCCTTGTTGTGTGATTGAATTCTTTAATGGCGTGGGTTTGCCCGTAGTGTTTTGGAGTTTACGCGGCGTTCCTGCTGTCTTCAAAGGTGTCCGAGTATGCTTCGAATTTTTCGTAGGGGTCGACGAAGCGGATCCGGTGCGTGAAGGGGTTTCTGAGGTAGAGCTGCTTCCTGCACGCTTTACTCCAGCTACACTATTCGAAAGGGAGCGATCAAGGAATGCATAGAGCTTCTTGTAAGCACGCGGAGGACATGGCGGATGCCCCATCAAAGGGGGGAGTTTAAGGGCCCGAGCTAACCTAGACACAACCAGCTAGTCAGTGTACCAATTAACCAGAATATGGTGCAGCGACAGGGATAGGACGCTAAACACACCGGCGGCAAGCGATCTCGGCGCAAGCATAAGGGCGTGCGATTTCTTCCTCGGGCCTTAGGCTAGTAGAAAAGCTGCGAGATTGCGCGACAAGAGATAAGGCCAAACTGCGGAGCTCTTGAGGCAGGTCATCGGCGTGGGTCGGCAGTAGGGTACCCAATGCTTGTTCAACAGGTCTGTTATTCATTCTGGACGTGAGTACAACCTCAAATGATCGTACAATCGGAGCGTCGACGCCTTGAATGTCCGTGTATTTTTTCGTTATCTAAAGGCGCGTTGTTATCGGCGTCCGTCATGTGACCGTGTATTCAATTAGATACGTACTACGTAAATGCGGCGAAAAAGTCCGAGCTCCACCCATTGTTTCGCTGTCGCCAGTTTCCCGTCATCCTATTCTCTCATCCATAGTTCACTCATTTCTCAGAGTCATGTCGGTCACTGTGAGTTCATTATAACGCCTCGAATTCCCATACCCCCTCCGGGACATCGACTAACGAGTAGGAATACCTACCAGCTCCATACGACCCAAGGCGACCTGAAAGTCGAGCTCTTCTGTGAGGCAGTGCCGAAGACAGTAGAGGTATGTAATATCTTGCGCCTCTACGCGAACTCACTTTTCACCTCACAACTTTGTTTCGCCCTGGACCTGTATACTGACGCTAAACCGAGTAGAATTTCCTCGCCCTTTGCGCATGCGGCGCATACAACAACACGCCCTTCCACCGTCTAATCCCCGGCTTCATGATTCAAGGAGGCGATATTTCTCTAGGACCAGCAGCACATCAATCGCAAGACAGCACCAAACCCATGCTTCCCTTCGACGACATCCCGAAAGGCGGCACATCGATCAATCACCCTGGCGCATTGGACCAGGAAATCCACATCCCCGCTCTTCGGCACAATACGCGCGGAATTCTCTCAATGGCAGCGCGCCCCGTCAAAGATAGGACAGCTCCCGGATCCCAGGGTGCAATGGGGGCTACGATTAACGGAAGTCAGTTCTTCATTACGTTTGCCGCTGCCCCGCATTTGGACGGAAATAGCACCGTCTTCGGGAAGGTGTTGAACTTGACGGCACAAGATGAGGGTGGTGATGTGTTGAGCAAGTTGGAGAAGGCGAATGCGAAGGTGGACAAGAAGGGGAGGGTTGTGCAGCCGAAAGAGGGCGAGGAGTCGGAGTATGAGGCACTGCGCATTAACAGGGTCACGATACATGCGAATCCACTTGCGAAGTGAGAACGGGCTTCACTAGAAGAGTATGCAGGTTTGAGTGCGATATATCACGCGATTTTCGAGCACCAAACAAATCCCCCGAATCAAGGCGCCAGGGCCGTGATACACAAAACCTGACATTGAGGAAATGACTTCACCAGATATGCTGTTCTGGATAGGGAATCTTTGGCCGGTTTTACGCGCTGTCGGGGACCATTGGTATTGTTGGAGTCCATTCCACTTTATTAAGCCCATTCCAGTCGAAGAGTTGCAGACAACCAACTCGGGTGTGGTCTGCAGGAGCCATTGCCTTATAACACTACTTAGGACGTGATTATCGAGGTATTTCTAATATGTAGCACAACGTTGCATAATGGAAGATGTGATCCAATGGCAAAATATCTAGGAGCCATGGGCACAGAAGTGCTATTATTTCCCACTGAAGTGGATTACTCAACAGCATGGCATGGAATCAGACACAGTTTTCAATGAAAATCGGAATCAGTGTTACTTCTAGCTTTTGTATACCACCCAGGAGAACCATGATTATATTCCAAACAAACAAAGTGATATAAACCCCGACACTACACCTTGTAAACAAACCACAACGTCATCGGATATCAAGAGCGCGAAATGGGGCATAGTGGTCTTGGATGACAACTATGCATGCATGCATAAAACGTATGAAAAACAGCCTGAAAAGAATAATCATGCACATCGTGAGGAAATGAACATCATCTACAGAAAAAGTAAGTCATGAGGCAAACAACTTAATACAGGTCAATTATGACTTCTGCTCGGCGCTCTCTTCCTTTTTCTCTGCATCCTCTTCATAACCTTCGAGCTTCATGTCCTTAAGGCCCAGCTCTTCTTCCTCTTCCTCAGTGCGGGTGTAATCTTCGGAGGTGATCTGAGGATCGACAGCAGGGGCACACAAGTCCTGAACGTAACTGTTGGCCATGGGATCTTCGAGGGTGATGACAAACTTCATGTCTCCGTTGATAGCAGCATCGAGACGAGAGAAGAAGCGAGTCCACTTCTCTTTGGTCTCGGATGCCATGCTGTCTCCTCCAGCGCCGCTCGCATCATCTATGTCGAAGATCTGACCGTGCAGTTGGTCGCGGATCTCGGTGAGCAGACCCTCAACAGTAGTGAAACGTCCGCCCAAGGTACCAGGCTGAACAGTGACTTCCAACTCTTCACTGTGCAGAGCGCAGGTGTCGGACTTGAGGATATCACGCGAGAGGTCGACTTCATTCTCGACACTAAGGGTGATGCGCTTGCCTTTCTCTGGAACCTCACCACCAGTCTTAACTTCGCTAGTACGGTATCCGCAGTGCTCGCAAGATGTACTCCAGATAATGACCTCCTTAAAGTATGGGATGTTCACCTTCTTCATGTTGACAAAGCCAGGCTTTGTGCAGCCTGGGCACTCGGTAGGCAGACTGTAAACCTGACCATCGACAATCTCAGAATCATCGAATTCGCCGGGTCCCTCATGCTGTACAGCATTGGGGTCCGCGGAAATTCCAAGCTCCTCATTCTGCTCGTGCGTACGAGGATAATCGCGACGCTTGTAGTTGTTTCCACTGTCGTTGATGGAAGGCGCGATCCACGAGTTACCAGTGGGGTCATCCAGGGAGACGGCGAAAGGGAAGCCCTCTCGGTTCAGAATCTTCTGAAGGTTCTCGATAATCGGTACAAGGGCATCGTGAAGTTCAGGTGCCTGGGCCTTGCGCAGGGGTTGCTCGCTAGAGAGCGACTCGTAAATCTTCTGGATCACTCCTTCGACAGTCGTAAACTGACTCTCGCCCTTGGGCATCTCGATTCCCAGAGATTCCACCTTGAAGATTGAAACATCGCTTCGAACAACCTGGCGCTGGAGGTCATTTTCATCCTGGACGGTAAGTGTGTATTTGGCTCCCTTCTCTTGAATCTGCCCGGCGGATTTGACAGAGTTGTCCTTGAAATGACAATGGGGGCATTCGAAGGATTCAAGGATAATGTCGCGGAAGTAAGGTACTCGGAGGAGGAGCAGCCTTGTGGTTCCCTGAAGCCGAGTTAGTTGCGCTGCTACAGCACTCATGTTCCAGCTGGTAAACGTACGTTCTCATGGCAGTTCATACAAAGACTTTCCAAGGACATCACACCGGTATCCTCATTTCTCTCGACCAAGTCACCAGGCTTCTGGAACTGTGACTCGACGGGAGCTTCTTGCTGGACTGGCTTATCTTCTACCGACATTTTGAAGGATGGGTATAGAGAGGGTTCTGTGATACAAGGAAAACAAGATAAGAGGGTATCGAAATCTATAACGCGCAAATGAGCGGAAGAATCCACAAATATATTCAACAATCTCTGCACCCAATGATGTCCAAGGAAAGTAAAAATTTCGCCAGCGAGCGCGGGAACGTTCCTTGACTTTCCACTATTGCTGTGGCGGGGCACAATTTTTTTGGAGGGGCAGATGGCATTAGTCAGCCCGATGGATATTTTATGTCACCGTTGTATGGAGTCAAACAATACCCCACATATGATGCTCTTAAATGAAAAGATCCAGGCTCAGGCTACAACATGGTAGAAACTTGAATTGGGCTCATGGAGAAAGTATCTCTAATCTATGGACCAATAAACTCACACAGGCCTACTTCGCACCAGCCCTCATAGGATGGAACCAGTTACCTACCAGTAGCTTCGTAAGAGAATCTATAATGGCAGTTAGCTGTGTTCAATACAGATGGGTGTGAAATACTTATAAGAAAAAAGGGGCCGTTTCCTCGCAAGGAAACGGCGGTTCACAGGCCACCACCAAACCCGCTATGGTTCGGCTCGCCAACGCAAGGCTTACGACAGGCCACTTGCGCAAACACCTGTCCCGGGGTCTGATGACGCTTTGTATTGCAGAGCATCAGTATACTCTCTTCGTTACTCATCAATCCTACCCGTGGATGCTTGCAACCGCATGGTAAGCGGCCATGTTCAGAGATATGTCACCGAAGAAGCCACACAGACAAGCCTAAGCTTTGATCCTCACTCTTGAGAGGTCCTGCAATATGCTCCACGTTGTACACACCCTAGCATGGCGCCCCAGCGTTCAACCAACCAAACGAATGGGTAGAGATTTGATTTTTGCAACGGGGAGGAGAGCAACATGTACTGTCCCTGAAGTTTTCAGCGTTCCGTTCCCAGGACACGGCCAGCGTCGAAAGAGGTCATGCCATCGTGCCCGATTCGGCAGAAGTTGAACAGCAGAGAATGGTAGAGCCTGAAAACGCAGATGCGACATCAATAGTACCTCGCGCTCTTTATGCAGAGAGATCGAATGCACGAAACCCTTCCAGAAAGTTTCCAGTCGGACTTGGATCTAAAATCTCCATCTCCCACCTGCTTTTCCAATTTGTCATTTGTATCGATCAGAAGACATCCCCGTGTCGCAAAGCCAAATTACCGAAGCTATTGCCTCGAAAAAACTCTCGTGTGTGGTACAGTATCCCCAGGGACAAGCTTTTGTTTCCTCTCCGCGTTTGTAGACTTGGAGGGCTTGGAAGAAGCGGACAAACAGCATCCATAAAAACCGCTTCCTTCCTCCCAAAAGAGAGGGACAGCAAATAGGACATTGCCATGATTGTCGGCGCCCATCAATCTATTTGCAACCTACATTGCAAAGAGATGGCTAACACGGCCGATCGGGATCTCCGATGGAGCGCAAATCAAATGGCGGGTGCCGTGACTTGGGATTTGCTAGCCCTTGAAAAGACAGTAAAGACTAGAAACGAGGAGTTGGAGAGGAGGTACAAGTTGCCCAGGCACCTTGATGTTGGAAACACGTACACGACGAATGACAGAGGAACAGGAAAGAGTGACGGTAACTGCCTGGCCATGCAGGACTATTATCCATCAGGAACCAATCCATAGCGGAACGGGACAACGAGCCAGATGGCACCATTATGATCGCATGGATCACAACAGTTGACCAAGGATCACTCCGCGCAGTTGCCAGAAGAACCTCGCTACAACCTAATCCGCTGGAGAAACCTGGGTTCCTTCCGCAGAGATCAAATTGGTGCCGACGAGTGGATTCTTCAGGCAAACTGACTTCATGACCGTGTGTAGGCAAATGATCTAAAGACCAAATTGTTGTGTTCAACAGGAGCAGCTGATGATGCATAATATATCCCACAGCAGTTGAGAGCGCCCCCCATGGTATTCCTGCGCAGCCATCGTGATTATCGTAAAGACAACTCCGAATAAAGATGCCCGACGTGTTTCACCTGCTCTCTCCCCAAGATTTTCTAGCACCAGGGTATAGACAAACCATCCTCTATGATCAGCATGAAACGCCCAGCATTGGAAAACCGACGCGCGCCCTTTTCAGGAGCTTGAAACGCATGGTAGCCCGTCTTTAGCGCCTATGATAGGCTCTGGACATCGGGTGCCCATGTGACACATCCGCCATGCGAGACCGTGAAACTTGTGCCATAATGGCATTTTATACCGACTTGGTCAACATTAGGGTCAGATTCCCAACTTTCGTCACATCCGCTAGACCAGTAAGGCAGCAAATGAAGAGACAAAGGTTGAGAAGCTAGGGAGGGAATAAGATCTGTACAAATGTAGTCTTTTCAGACCAAGAGGAGACCTTCGACAAACTGGAATGTCTATGAAAGTACAACAACACATCTTCGAAGACAGAGGGTCTAATAGGGATATTATGAATAGAAGTCCTGCTGACTGAGATTCCGAGAAGGAGAAGCATCGCGGACGCAGCGTAAAGTGGTTTGAGGCAATTGATGTCGGCGAACTGCAATAGTTGGAGAGGTAACCAAAACATCGAGATTTGAGTAGTACGCTAAAGGTTGAATACACGCGACGCGTGTACACGTGACCTATACGCGGTCTGGAATTCACCTAGGCACCGGATTTCGAATTAGTTTCTACGTTAGACTCTCCTGCGCAAATGCTAGTGTGGGGTAAATATTTCTTTATTTTCTTTACTTGTAATTTTTAATGACCTGTGGACCACC